GGGAGAGACGAGGGGCCTAGGGGGACCTCCGCCCAGAACACTCACCGAATCCAGACTCCATCGGCGTCTGGACAAAGAGGCTGCTCTTCTGCCAGGGGGCTACGCTATCCTAACCTGTGGTTTGAAACCTATTCTACCCTCCAGGAAATAAACTAATCTATCAGTCTCAAATTCTTTTAATAAATGTATCGTACAATTCTTAAAACTCAGATGCATTTCTTAATTAAAACTAATATATTGATGTGTCTTAATAAACTGTCCTTTGAACCGTTTTATGAACTACATTCTCAAATTTCTATTATCAAATTTGATTTTTTGATATTCTGCATCTTTTGACGCCCTGTATCTTGACGCCTTCGCAACCATTACCACCCTTCAAACTAGACTTCAAATAATGCAGCAAAATTCTAATGCTTGTTTAAATATTGTTTTACAACTAAATCTTAACCTGCAAATAGTGTTGGACCTATCAAATTGCATTGGATCTGATCATTAATTTGTTCTAAAGATTTGTAAACATGAGGAAAAGCTGAAGGGCACTTTGGAAGTTTTCTTAAATATTGTTTGACCTACATTTTCAAGTGTTCTCCCTACCCCCTGGCGGGAGAAAGGCGTTGGACGTCGAGAAGAACGGCGTCGTGAAGACCAAGGCCACAGCGACAACGCAGCCAAGCAGCAGCGAAAAGACCTCGCCCCATCAACAACCATGGATCTCTTGCAAGCACTTTCACTAAGAATTCACTCCGATCACATCTTCATTAATTTCCGGTCAATACACTTTACACATCAAGCAATTTTCTAGAAGTAATTTAAAGCTCACGTTTCACTTCACTGCACACGACCTCACTCAACTACCTAAACCTACACTTTGAGCATTTTAGATTTCATTAGCGCCGAGAAATTCTAAAAATTACTCACATTACTGCATTACAGCCTAATTAACGTTCTAAAACGTAGACACAGAATTTCGTTTACAATACAAAATATGAATCGACACATAGTTAAACGTATGAAAACCTAACCACAGTCACCATCCATTTCGGAGCTATCTTTAACTTCCTCACGACCTGAACAAGGCTTCCAAAGTACAAGTGAACCTTTCGCGACTCGCCCGTGAAGTGAACGACGCTGGGCAGGTTCAGCGCCGGCTGGTCACAGAACGGAACCATCGCAGCTCCTGATTGGCCGAGAGTCAACACTTCAATACTGCAAGAAAAATGCTCAATTTAGAAATGCGTGAATTATAAGAAATGAAAATATCGTATGTTTGTAAATTAGTTGGGATAGCCAATGTATTTTCAGTCATAAGATGTGTTTTAATGATCTCTTTCAATTGTTTTTTAAATAATTCTCCTTCTCTCAGTAAAATACAAAGAATTTGTAAAGGACTAGAGACCGTCACTACGTTGCAATTTCTATTTACAAATAAATTATAGAGAGTATAAAACATTATATCAATTATTGAATAAAATTAATTGAAATAATAATTAATAAAATACAGAATATTAACAATGTTCTAACACATTATTGACAATGTTATTTTCCCCAACATCAATACATATTATCTATAAAAAATGCAAGCTTTTCTCATAATTGAGATGTATAATATGCCACAGGAAAATATTTACTGCATACTCGTATAGGAACAAGAATTAATTCCTTTTCCGATATTAAGTACATTCAATACGATTTTATCAACTGAAAACAAAATGTCACAACCGCATTGCATAACTTTCTCTCTGTTTCTCTTCTCTTGCATAACTTTCGTACGTGATTTGATTCAAAAAGTAACTAGTGATGCTACAGAATGGCACATACTCTCCCATAGTAAAGTTTTCTAATTTCCTAGGTGTGGGGTAGCTTTAGGGTCTTGCTCCATCATCTTGCCAGCTGCCATCTATCGACGCCCAAAATTTAATTTTTGAAGTTTTCTCAATTTTTCGGTTTCCTAATGCAAGATTATAAATATTACTTTTAAAATATTAAAGAAAAGAAATCCTCGTTCCATACGAAAATTTTCATTGAAAAATGAGGAGCAATTTTAAGAAAAAAATCGTTTAAGCTAGTTTTTTCTAGTGTAAATGCGAAATTTGAAGCTCTTTTTCACAGGAATCTTTTGTGTTTTAGAAAAACTTCATTGGAAGTCATTTGAAGCCTTTGCACACACAAGTGCAATAATATATACAAATCCTTGGAAATGTGCATACTATCGCCGTGACATATTTCAAAAAGTGACATTTGTTTAATTTTTGAAAAACAATAGAATACAGCAAAATTAATTGTATGTCATCTTAAACAGTGCAGTTAGCACTAGCCGAACGAAAAGCCCGAAGAAGAAAAAAATTGGAACCGTGTTGGAGAAAATGCCGTTTGAGCGTTTCTAAAAATGTGGAATTTTTGGCTAGTTTTTACATACAAACGTGTTTTCGGGAAATTTTATATTACATTATTTAAAGCACATGTACGCATAACATAATAATATGAACAAATTGCTAATGTGAATTTTAACAACATGAGACGCTAGTAAGAAATACATTTTTTAATTAAAAGAAAACAAAATATAGAAAAACGGCGTTTATGTCACTTCATATATTATATTTAGCACTAACCCTGCGTAAAGTTGCCAGCTGCCATCTATCGCCGCCCAAAGTATATTTTTTTTTATTTTCTCAATTCTTTTTGGTTTCTTAATACTACAACAGAAACATTACTTCAAAAATATTAAAGAAGAGTAAAACCTTGTTCTACAAGGAAATTTTCATTGAAAAATTTGAAGCAATTTTTATAAAAATGTTGTAGACTATCTTCACTTAAATTTCGGAGAAAAAATTTGATGCAGTTTTCGAAAAGATCATGTTTTGGTTGTTTTTTAATATTGCACATAGTGCATGCAGTATGGCACGAAAACTACTAAATAATTTTTTAATGTAAATGATGTGAATGAAAGAACGAACTATGGAGAACAAATTTCATTTGAAGGAAGAATCGTTATCTTCAATTTTGTAGTTGTAGGAAGACGCCGAAAAAAATCAAACATATGAATAGTTGGCGTCTGGGATGAGCCGCGTCTCAGTCGATGGAGCTGACGTTTCGGACATCGTGTTGTGGCCTTCTTCAGAGCTATAATGACGCAGCAGTATATCTCTGAAGAAGCAGCTTCCTCAAAATTACGTAATGGTAAGAAACGCGCAGTTCCTTTGTGTCTGAGACGCTGGTGGGCCTATCGCAGCGCTCCCCTCTGCCCCCGCCAAGGGACCTGTAAGGCTACTCGCGTTCAAAGAGTATATTTCAGAGACGGCACTCAATGTTAAAAGGAGAAGCCTTATTTGCCCAACTTCCGGTGCCGCTACATTGTTCTGTATAATTTCTATTGGGTAAACGGACAGACAATAGCAAAGAAGTAGCCGGTAAATTTGAAATAAACCAGCAACGCGGGAACTTTAAAATTTCACTCCCATACTTTCCACGCCTTAATTTATTAAAAAAGTCCCAATAATAATTATAAGGATTTTATGGAAGAAAGAAGTTAAATTGGGGTAGTAAAATCTAGTATTTATTGAGCATTTTGATATTATACAATTTTGTAATTTCATTAGTAAAAACAATTTTGTATTACAGAAAGTAATAAACAGTACATCTGCACAATTGTAACTTTAGTATTTGCTTGTAGATATGCCAAATTAATGCCAATTCTATAGAAGACTACATTATTACAAGCATTATGAATGAACAATATGAACAGAACTGAAAAGAAATAAATGAAAATACTACCGCAGATTTGCCCAGGTAAAACAAATAGTTATGATACAAGGGTGAAAGTGCCATTTTATTATGCGCATAGGAAAGGTAGGACCACTAGGCCAATAAGTACAGTACCCCATTTCTATAAGCAAAAAAAATTAATTTCACCATGCATTTTTAAGTGACATTACTGCCTTTCACTTTATTTTAATCCAAGAATAAGAATTAATTATGTACTGTAACATTAAGATCAGTAGTATCTGATTAGGTCACATGAACGTTTTTTGTTTTCTTGGTTGCTTTCAAAGTTTTATCAGAACATTTGAGCATTGTCCCACTTTTAGCAGTAGTGCAAAAAATTGAGCTTTTAGCATGCTCTGCATGCCATGAAAAAACCATTTTTACTAGTTGCAACCTAAAATGTTTTTCGTTAGTCAATAAATATTTGACAAAATTATTTTATTTACCCATGCTAATCTCACAGATGCACAGTTCAGAGCCTGGCTTTTTTAAAAATGGATCCACTGTGAAAAAGACATTCACTTTTAAAACAATGATTTACAAATAGTGGAATTCCATCAATGCTTATGCACCACAATTTAATTCTGAAAATGGATTGTCAAGTGCAAATATTTGATTGCACCAGGAGCCAAGCCTGGAGACCTTCTGATAACTGGGCAGTTGTCCTAATAACTGAGCTATGGAATCAAGCATTGTATTCACAACTCATAACAATTTAATCTAATAAGGATCAGAATTCAAATCCAGAATGTAATGCGCATGAGGATAAACAAAACACAATGATACACACATAGTAGAATATAAATTGATTCAAGGTTGTGTTTGTCATGAGAAACCATTATTGTCAGAACAGCATACCAATACATAAGCAACTTATATCAATACTAATAATAAAAATACATTCTAATAAGAAAGAAAAAATACAGACCAGATAATAAGCACTAAAGAAATTATAAAATTTCATTAAAATAGCCTCTGAAACAGAAACTCGAAACCTTTGTATTCATAATATTCAAATTAAGAGTCTTAACATAGCAAGAAGCATTCCAAAATTGAGAAAATGATAAAGCTTTACAGAATTCATTTTCTTGAAATATTAATTTAATTTAATTAGAACCTTCCAATTCAGATGTGGAAAATACAGTTTATGTAATGGATATGACAGAATACACACTGATTTTAAAACTGAGTTGTTCGTACCATTACAAACTGTCGTCGTAAAAGAGATATGTACAGAAACTTTGTGCAAAATGAAGCAAGTCATTCACTGCACATAACAATAATTCTTTAAAATTATCTCTCTGAGTTCTGACTCCTCAAAGAGAACCTTAATTTAAAGCCACTTAGGGTCAAATTATAAGGGTCTAATATGCATGCTTCAGAAGCCATCTCTGGAAGAGGATCTGAAAAGCAAAAAATGCATTTAAGAAAGATACTATGACCTCAAATGAATGTTCTGAAAATAAATCTGTGTCAAAAAGAAAGAGGTTTCTTTTAATTCACCATCTAGAATTACGAAATTAGAAAGCACAGGAGTATCTTGCACTTACCACACACCCAAGTCGCAGATTGATCTCACAGAACGGCTTCTTGCACCTGTTCAGAAGTACGAGGATGTGTATTAACTCCATTTTTTTTATTTACTATAATTTACCCTCAATTGGCACTAATAACTATATATTGAAAGGAACATATCATGAGAAATGTCCATAAAAACTTGAGGCGACACCTCACATGAGTGAAAAAGATCTGAAAATTGAGACAAACTTGAAATCTAACCCATCTTCAATAAATGCAACAAAGTAATAATTGAGATTCTTAAATATTATAGCATATATTTACCTTTCACAAGGCTAGCATAAGCATCTGCTGCACTTGCTGTAGCAGCATATTCAACAGCACTAGAGTCTGCATTAATAAAAAGCAAATTATTACCAATACATTATGCTTTTAATAGCATGCTCCTTTTTGCATTTTACAAACATACAAGAGACGTACCATTTTCATTTTGAAAAGCTGCCTGTGCCAAGGATCTGAAAATTAAAAAATGCTGGTAGCATAGACTCCCATCGAACTATATTCTATTAAAAAAAGTCTTACCAATTACACCCATTGCTATATAGTGTAGGTGTCACTTCAGTTTATCCAAACAAGGGATCTGCAAATGAACATGAATATTAAAAAAATTCCACAATTTGCAATTGAATTATTTGAATGGACTTTCAAGGCAAAAACTAACCATGGATATTGGCAGCAAATGTACCAGGCACACTTGCTGTAGTGAACCATTCACTAGCATTAGTTTCTGTACATACAAATGAATTATCAACCTAGACTTTTAGTAACATTATTCTATATAAATTTTACAATGAAGTAGGAATTTACCATCTACAGTTAGCCTGGATTTCGAACAAACTAAATGCATAAAAACGAAAGATAAAATAAATGTAACTCACTTTTTCACGTTTCTTGACAACCCAAATAAACGTGTTTTAATTGCTGATTTCGCTTTCGCATTTTTACAGTTAGGCAACCAGCATCTTTTCGAAGCTATAATGCACGCTTCAGACTTCAAACAGCAGTATACCACTTCATTTCTCTAATTCACTGACCGCGATATGGCGTTAACGGCCCTACGAACAGCACGTGAATATACAACGATAGGTCGATGAGGAAGGAATCCAACCGGCTCGTTTGCAAAAAAAAAAAAAAAAATCAAAATGAATAAGTAGTTCACCGATTGTCCGCATGAGCGAGTTGGTGTTGTACAGATGTATACGGCGTCCCTCTGAACTCTGATTGGCTACCGTATGGAATTTGAATAAGGACCGGATGTGCCCTATCTAGTGTCACACCACTGCTCGCGATACGAGACACAGGACCGTGACGTCACGCATTGAGACTCACAGAGAGGGCTGTAACTCCATAATGTCCATTGGAACCGAGAAATAACAAGCAGTGTTTTTAAAATAAGTCTATTTATTTATGTAGTATTTTAGTTACCAATAGAATTTTGCATACAAATGCATATTTTTTTGCTAATGCTTTCTTAGAAAATCATCACTTTTCGCATATCAGGTTACTGCGTATGTCTGACTTTCAGTGGAATTTTTGAAATAATAAGGAGCTTGGTAATTTATTTAAATATTTGTTAATAATTGGCTGATTTTTTAAAAAAATATCTTCAATCAAGCTTCTTAAAACTGATGAATTATAGTTATCACAGTTCATAAAACATCGAATTATCGTAATTTCAAAAAAGTGCAAAATATCTCACCACGGTGTGCGTGATAATAAACCTTACGAACACGCTCGGCTTCCATCAGTTTTTCTTCTGTCTTCAGCAGATTCACGGAGAAATTCGCATAGAACCGAGTTAAAGACACTGCGCATCGCAGGGTGAGCACTCGCAAAAACGGCGACACGTCACCCTGCGCTGGAACGTGCGCGGGTTCGATAAGCGAAGTTGTTCGCAGACACTCGCCGTGAGTCACCCTGCGTCTCACTTGGCGACTAGGCCAAGCAGGCGCACCCCAGGACGAGACGGCGCCAAGACCGCCGCCCCTCGACGGCGCATACCCGTGTCCGTCCAGCCTGCCCCCGCCCCCACCTTCTAGTGCGAGTTAGGGCACTGATTCGCGCAATCAGGAAATTCCCGGCTGTGGCACTTAAACGTTATTGTTAAAATAAATAAATAAATATGACCAGCCCGCGTCGCACTCTGCATGCTGCTGTATTGCTTCCAACATCATGAGAGAGAGCGAGCGAGAGAGGGAGCGAGAGAGAACGAGAGAGGGAGGGAGCGAGCGAGCGAGCGAGAGAGAGAGAGAGAGCGACAGAGCAAGAGCGAGAGAGAACTAGAGAGAGCGAAAAAGCGACAGAGAAAGAGCGAGAGGGAACGAGAGAGAAAGCGAGAGAGAGAACGAGAGAGAAAGCGAGAGATAGATAGAGAGAGAGAAAGAGAGAGAGCGACAGAGAAAAAGCGAGAGAGAACTAGAGAGAGCGAAAAAACGACAGAGAAAGAGCGAGAGGGAACGAGAGAGAAAGCTAGAGATAGAGAGAGAGATAGAGAGATATAGATAGAGAGAGATATAGATAGATAGATAGATAGAGAGAGAGAGAGAGAGAGAGAGAGAGAGAGAGAGAGAGAGAGAACGTTCTGAGATCGTTTCTACTCCGGAATCTTTCAGAACCATACGGGGATTGGCTGGAGCCATTTTAACGCGCAATTGATTTAGACCAATCAACGCAACATTTCTAGAACAGAGAAGACAATCGTAAGCTTCGATGGAAGAGATGTCGGGGAGGAAAGACACTCAAAGTCAGACCACTCTGTAGGTGAGGCCCAGAGAGAGTTATTTCAATTACGCTTAGATTGGCGGATGTAAGCGTATCCGAGTACATCCGAGCGAATCTTTAGATTCACTTTAGTTCAGGTTGCCTCTAGGTCGCGTCGCCGGATGCAACCGAGCAAAGCCGCTCTTTGCCTTTAGATCGGAACACCGAGCGCACAAGTCGCTCGTGCTTCCGCAGACTTAAGCTGTGGCCGCCGGCTGCACCATTCGCACCCAAGCGAAGGTCTGTTATTTCGTTTGAGCTACTGTTACTGTCAGAACTATTTTATCAAAGTAAGGTTTCGAGAATTATCGCTACCTGCTACTCTTGATCAGGGACCGATTGACGACACGACGTGCACGTAGCAAATTTAACGTGACGAATGTTCTGTTCCGAAGGCGACGGCGCGCCCGCCACCAAGCGAGGGGCTTCTAAAGACCCTTATTCACGCATTTGCACCGTCTGTAAGGGCCGCTTAAGATCGTTACGCGAGACTCTAGCGAAAATAAGCGAGCTTAGGTCAAAATAACGTTTCACCTTGGTTCGTAAGCGTTCTTAGCATTAAGGTACGCTTTGTACATAAGCGCTCGCGGGACAATTGCTTAAGGGACTTCAGCCGGCTTAAGGAGTCCAAAGAAACATGGCGGAGAGGTTATGCGCAATTGCATTTGGTGCCGGCGACCACGTTTTTGAAGATAGAATTTCACCACCTAGGCAAACTAGATGGGTCCGGGAGAGGGGAAATTTCTTCCAAGACTTCGATGAAATTGATTTTCGGACTCGCTTCCGCTTTTCGAAGAGATTATTATTGAAGAAATTCGAAGACATTATTGGTGTTGAAGCAGATTAAAAAGAACTAAAATTTACATCTGACAGATATGCAGTGTAGCCTAGTAGTAACTACAAGACGCAACAACATTAACGGAAGACGCACGAAGCCCGCTTAGCTCGGCCGCGCCGCTAGATCGCTGGGGACTGGTGAAACGCGTTTGCCGAAAGCTCGCTTAAATCTAGAACTAAAATTTTGAGCCAGCTTACCAAAGTAGCGCTTAACGAAATATTGGTGAAACCGGCCCTAAGCCGTAAGAACAGGTGAGCAAGATTATGGTGACGTTTTTTAAACTCAGCAAAGGTTTAACAGATTGGCTATTCCAAAGATTAGTAAAAACCAAAGATTCTTGTTTACTTCTGAATAACCAGGAAATGTAAAGACTTATGTAACAATTTTGCGCGGCCGCGCTCTGGCTTAATTTGTGATTTAATTCATAAGTTGTATTCTAATTTTAAATTTTAAATTGAGGTAGTGAGCTCACCAAATTTTCTAATTTTGTAGTATTTCAACCCACAGCATTAAATTGTCTTCTATAGTTCAACATAAATAAGTGTTTTCTTATCTAACAACTCCCACCCTTCCTACTCACCGACACGAAGTATTTGAAACGAACCTGAGCTATCTGGCGCAACGTAAACTTACAACACACACACGTTTTCTTGTACCACGAAAGACCTACCCACACTCCTTTACTATCTTTCGTTGAATTCAGATTAAATTACTGCAAGGAGCGATGTTTACATCATCTCACATCCAGAAGTGTTAGCTTCCGTGTAATGTCCATGTATTTTACATTGAAAACGAGTTACAGATTTGGTGTACTATGAACCCTGTCAACAAAATAATCAAACCCCCAAATCCTCTCGCATCTTGTGAAATGAAAATTCAAAAAATCGTGCGAGGGTAATACGACACGCAAGCAATAATGGTGCATCTTTTGCAACCAGAAATAATACACGAACTTCAGTAATAAAACGATTCCAACTAATGCACTTGAAATACAATCAATACATACGTAGTACACTTCGATGGCACTTATACCATATTGTAGTATTCTTTTAATATTTTGCTGATAACATTTGTCGAAACAAACATATTGTTTAATAACAATATTATTCTCATGGTAACCAATTTGAACGTAATACACCTGCAAATACTTAAGCGAACGTATACAAAAATTTCACATTTTTGGTAATATTTACAAACATTTGATAAAATGTTATAAGATAAAATATTTAGGGAACTATACAACGGACGCGATGATTTACTTTTCGTTTTTGTGCAATACATATATGTGTTTAAAAAAACAAGTACTTTTTCAGTATTTTTTATTTTTTATTTTATGGGCCTCACATACCTTGATCCAAATCAGGGTTTCAGAATATCGGATATAATTAAACATTAAATCACAGCTAAGTGAGGTTAATGATATTTCATACGTACATTTAGCACTATTTGTACAAAAGGGTTGAAGAAAAAATTGGTGCCGTTTTTGAGAAAGTCTTGTTTTTAATAATTTTTATTGTTACCCATATTTCAATCGAATTTGTGAGAAAAATTTTTGAAAAAAATTACATGATATTAATTAAATAACTCCCTATCATCTTCCAAGCCAAAGTTGTAATATTTATGTTAAATGCTAAACGTTTAAACGATTCCAATATGCATTTTGAAAAGTACTGTTAAATTGAAATGAATATCTCATATTGCAAAACAGGTGCACGTATAAAGAATATAGAGTACATACGCCTATACGTTCTTTGGTGCTGAAATTCTTTACTGAAATAATTTGAGAGTGTTCCACGCAAAGCTGCCATATATTCCTCAGAATAATCCATAAGAGTTAAAACTTTTCAAATTTTGTATTGTCCGCGCACGTTTTCTCAAGTCCTCACTGCGCTAATTGCGAGAGGAGTGGGGAGCTTTGACAAAAGGAATTTTATATTAAATTTGTAGTTCGTTTCTCGATGAAAAATAGTTTCTACTACACGGGAGCGAGCTTTCGGTTGATCATATTTTGTCTACAACGCTCGTTTCTTCCCAATTCAACCAATGTTGGCAAAGGACTGGGCGTTGGTATTTCGGGGCTTAAGAAAACGATCACGTATAATGCTACAGATTGTGTAGTTTTGTCATTCTGCAGAAGTAGTCGACAAAGTTTATTCCATGGCTGGCAAGTGTATTTATCATGAGCAGATGGCCATGAAATGTATTCAACAATTCTGTCATGAGAACAATATGTGATAATTATTTTATACGTAGATCACAAGCAATTGACAAAACTAGCAACTTAATTATGATTACACATTTTCTTGACTGGTGATACTTCACGAAGTCAAAAATACGAATGTGTACGTACGTGAAGACTAGTGAATTTCTTGAAATGAAGTAGGGTACTCAACACCAAAGGAACCTTGAGAAGTTTACATTCTTTTAGGAGCACTTCCCTGCCAACTATTTCTGCTCCTCCATGAAATAATATACGGGTAAGTCATGTAGCAAAAAGCAATCCCTGTCAACGCTTGTAACAAATTTATCAGATAGAAAGCATAAAAATGCTTAAACCCAAAACAGTTTTCACGTCCTAAATTCACAACGAAAGACAAGAAAGCGTGCAAATACGGAAGACCACAATAATTGTGAGAAACTGAGGTCAAGATGCAAATGCACCTGCGACCTACGTTATGCCATTAATATAAAGTTTGATTTACAGTTTTCTGCAAAATATGAATTATTATAAATTATTACAAATAATGTTACGATAAAATTAAAACGTTTTAAGACAATTATTAATGAAATTCTGCTTTACATATCGAATTATCGTAAACTGAATAAGGAAAGTAAAAAATGCGAAATGGTCTGACCATGATTAATATCACAAGAAATGTAAGAGATGTTTTCGACAACATTTAGATTGTGAACATCGCAGAACTGCAGTATTTTGCGATGTTGTGTAGTTAACATATTCCTCTATCGTTTCCTAATACCTAGTAAAGAGCTATGGTTATGACATGTACTAGCGTGCTATGATTGGATCATCGAACTGATTAAAATAAAAAATGTATTTAATTTCCATACCCTAATTATTTTTTTGAAAAATAGATTCGACAATGTTTATTCATGGCAATTGCAGTAGTTTTAATACAAAACGACTGCCCCGCCGAACTGCGATTGTATAACTCTAAACAAGGCCAATAGTGTGTCTTACTTACCTTTGTTGTATTTTACTATCCTTGTGCTTGATTAACATAAAAATGACCATATGCTACTGCGTGTTATACCACTGCGTAATTATAAAACAATGGCAAGAGTGTCTGTTGTTTACGTAATTATTGCTTGAAGGAAAGACAATATTTTTATAGATCTCAGAAAGAATCCCATTTTTTTTCGTTGCGTTTCTTTCTTTAAAAAGAGCTATGGAGATTTTAAAATGGTGTTGGTCTAATTTTTGGCAAGTTCTCAGTATTTTCAAAAAACAAACTGTAAATGCAAATATTCAACTTTTTGAAAGCGTCGGGAAGATTCAGCTAAGCCGTGAAGCAGGTGTTGTACGAGTAACGTAAATGGCATGCTAACTCTAAGTATCTGCGTTCAAATCCCTGTGCGAGGAAAAATTGTTATTGTTGGTTAGAAATTTTTTTTTTTGCTGATTGAAGTAGTATTGTAATATTGCGAAGCCGTTTCAAATAACGCGAGAGAATACGAGCTGTTTAGCCTCGTTAGTTTCAATGGCGACTCAGATCTCGCTCTTTGGTAGCTTTCTTGAATGGATCGAATCATCACAAAATGAGAGCTCAGAGCTATTAGTTACTGTCCTACTGAATTTAAAAATTGTTGCAACGATTTTGTTGAAAAGTCTTCGAATTTTTAACACATAGAAAACCCAAGGCAGTCAACACTCTTTATTGTTCTTACTGTATTGATACCATCAAACTGTTTTTCGTTATATTTGCCGAATCCGATAGTCGTCAAACTTTCAATTGTGCGACCGATAAAGGAAGTACTTACCAATAAATCATGTACGCTGTTATTGTTATTTGAGAAAGTTTT